ATTTAAAAATATTTAGATTATTATTTTTTTCTTATAGTAAACAATGTACGCTGCATTGAACAAAATGGTTGCCAATGCCTGTGGTTACAGAGAGACTGGCCCACAAAAATCCATAGATCGAAAGGTTGGTTTTCTTAGATGTGGTAGGGCCATAATCCGTACAAACAACCTTCTCTTCTCAATTCGGTTTGCAAAAATCAAAGATTAGGAAAATTAAGCTAGGAATGTAGGTTTTTTTTTTTAAAAAAAAAACAGAGAATAAGGGATTTGATTTTATTTTTTAAATAAAAAATTATGTATTAATCGATAAATTAAATACTAAGTACAATTTGAAATGTAAACTTGTTATATACCTTATGCTTCAATTGCTTTAATTAGCACAAGCTCTTCCTTCTTGTATAAACAAATTAGGAGGTGGGTTATAAACTTTTTAAAGTGGTACCAACATTTGAAGCCTAATTATTGCAGGATTGTTGCTGACTACCATTGAAGCTTCTTTGACAGGTAGATTTTTCCAGATTTTAGGTAAAACAATTAAAAGAAACTGCAAGTTCCTACTTAACCTCTTTGCCTGTCAAATTAGAGTTATAAGATCTTTTCTCGGAAGATCTTTATAAAATTATTGAGGCCCCCTTCAGCATGGAAAGATAAATTTCCCCTATTGTTTATTGTCCTTTTTTCGTTTTTGTTTATATAGTTTCGGTGGGTAAGTAAGGATATTTTAAGCCTTTAGCACGTGAAGAAGCATGCTTGGATCCACCGACAATGCATAAGATACGGTGGTTCAGGAATTTTAAAACCCTAAACAAGAACATTTAATTAGTGCTAAAGATAACCCAAGCAGCTTGATTAATATTGGGTTTGGGCCCATGGAGAAAGTTTGGGAGGTGGACCCCATTTTTACCAAAAGAGAACATATCACATGGAGATGCGAAGCATCAGAATCAACGGTCCCTCCCCTTTTTTGTACAATGCTGTTCCTATTATTTTCATGGTGTGGCAGCCCTTCACCTCTCTCTTTCCTTACCACTTTACTGTTGGAAGCTTACGATCTTGGCTTGGGGACGGTATTAATAGAAGAAAATTAGAATCACAAGAACCGAGAAACAAAATTCTAATGCTAGTTTGAAAGGGGTTGGCGGCTTCGTGCATCTAAATCTTAATAAGAGTAAGGCTCCTTTATAAAAAAAAGAAAAAAGAAAAAAGGGTTCCTCATTTTTATTTTTTTTACCCTTTAGAAAAAGGTATTAACATTGAGAAGAATCATATGTAGAATACAGGAATGGTGCGGACAAATGGAATGAGTTAGAAGAATCAATTATGTAATTAAGATATGTTTGTGGTATTTACCTCATCTATTGATTAAATTGAATTATTGATATTTTATTATTTTTTATATTCTATAATTAGTGTTCGAGTTTGAATTGTTATTTCAAGTTTCAAGTTTGGTCACTATTTTTTTATAAATATTATTAATTAAAATTAAAAAATATAAGATTTATATGAAGTACGTTTCAAATATATATTAAATTTATTAAAAATTAATTTAATCAAATATTTAAAATAACTAATGTGTAAATTAAAAAGATTTGATTAATATAATCAAACAAGATAATACTTATGAGACGTAGACAATACTAAAAATAAATTTAAAATAAAAATATCTTTGGTTATATTTAATTGATTTTGTCAATGATTTGATTAACAAAAGGAAAACTTTAATATTGGAAGAAAGGAAAAAAAAAAAACTCTCTTTCCCTCTCTATTCTTGGGCTAATTTTCCGTAAAATTTATTTAGACTAGAGAGCAAAAAGAATATAATATGATAGTATCTATTAAATATTGATATTGGTATTATATATTTTCTGATGGAAAAGCATAAAACGAGAAAGAAGAGGGCACGTGGGCGTCAGCTTGTGGAGCACGTGTTTGGCGGGCAGTTGACGTGGGGTTCACACAATTAAAGGCGCCACGTGTTCGGTATTTCATTAGGGATCACGTTGTCATGGGCTTCCCCCTTCTGGCCACTGGTGTACCAGGGGAGCGTGGCTTGCTTCGGTAACGCAGTCACGGGGTTAATTATCTTTTATTTTTTAGGCAGAGTCCGTTTACATTCATCACCGCCCACAATGAATCGAGTATTCTTCACACAATGACGATTTGATAAATGTAGAATGGGGTGACTACTTTTATGTAATTGATGGTAAAAAATAATAGCCAAATGGAACATAAATATAATTAATTGTCATTTGAGGTGATATCATCAGTATCAATTATATATATATATATATATGAACAAAAGGTAAACGTAAGATAACAATGTCAAATTGCCGATGACTGCAACATTCATTCAAAGGCTAGTTTTAATTTCAAAATTAACATACATAAATTATATATTAAAGAGCAACAAATCAGCTTAGTTATTATTATTATTATTATTATTTTGCAATAAAATCGTCTAAATTGTAAACTTTTTATTAAGCTTAAACCTTTTGGGTTTAGGTGATTAAACGGTTTATTATGTTAAGCAATGTTTAAGTATTAAGAAACCTCATTTCATCATCTAATTTGTGAATGTAACCATAATCACTTGCGTTATGTCATGAAAGCCTGATGTCATCTTAATTAATTTAACTTTAATGTGGAATTAATTAGGTTTATTCCATTGCTTGTCTATGTGTATTTGCATTACCCTTTGAGAATGATCAATGCCATCCACTGAAATTTAATAAACAAGCAAGCATTTCTTGTATGTCATGCATGACAAAAAATTGAAATTTTTATAAAGTATTTTGAATATAGTATAAAATTTATTCATTGCCTACAATTGATTGGAGTTAGCATTAGTTATATTAAGATGAAAGGTATTCTAGTTTTTTTTTCTTTCAGAAGAAAAAATTTCTCAAACAACTATAAATAAAAATAAAAAATTAACTTTCATCAAAATGTTATAATTTTACTTATATGAAATAATTATTTTTAAATTAAGATAATATTTTATCTATTTAATTATTTATTTTAATCCAATAAGGTTTTGATTTATACAATTACTATTTAGTTTTTGCTTTATAGTAATTACTTATTAAAGAAGCAAAAAAAAAAAAACCAAGTAGAAAATGAAGCTTTAACTTGTTAGAAGAAGACCCAAATTCCTTTTATGTTTAATTGCATGCCAGGCATTATAATAATGTGAAAATTTTTATAGTCTTCTTAGAATTTGATTGGAAAATGATTAAACATTGAAACAAAAAACAGAAAAGAAGCTTTTTTTAATAGTTTAGTTTATTGAAAGGACAGTTGATTTATTTATTGTATATTGTGCATTGACAATTAAGTGACCAATTGCCCTTTAGCCCTTTTTCCTCAGTATAGCGATTAAAGCAGTATTGGGTAGTTGCATTAAGGCAATTATGCTTGGTAGTTGAATTGTAACCTAAAACTTCATGCTAGCTTTTCTTCTTTGCCAAGAGGTTGTAAATGCAAATATGCTCCTCCTTAAACTATATAAATGAAGCAACTTCATTTATTAGTTTCTTTTTATGGGTAAATCAAACCATTGGTTAGTTAATACTATCAATCTTGAAAGTGAACATGAAATTAAAAGCTAACCTAGCAAAGGGGAGCATGAATAACAGTCCCAAAAAGTGGAGGATGCAAGGGAAAAAGTAAAACACAAGTGTGGGGTGCGAAGGAGGGAGATGCATACAAATTAAGCAGATCAAAAGCTCTAAAGCAAGTTTTAGGGACCACTTTTTAATTACCCAAAACATATATTAAATCAGTCCAGCTTTAATCTTAATTTAAAGCTGATCTTTGCTGTGTCACAAAATGAAATCTTAATTTAATAGACAAAGACAATAAATTAGGAGGTTAATCAATAGACGAAGGACATGGTTTAAGGCATGTTATACCAAAAAGGCTGAATAATAAAAGCCTGGGGGATAAAATGGAATGAAGGAAGAGACGGAATAGAAGACTGAAAGGACTTTTTGGGTTTTGGCTGTAGAGAAAAGATTAAGGTCACTTGGCCCTATAAAACTACAGGGACTGTTTTAATGGGTCCCTTCCTCAGTCCAGTCTTCTTCGACAATCCCCTTGTAGACAGTAGTGGCTTGACTACTGTTGACGGTCAAATATCAAGAGGGAGGAAGCATCGTTAGCGGCCCTGTCTTTCAACTTCAAACTTAATGGTGAAAATCACTTTGACCCCAAATTTAAGCAGATAATGATACTGATTGCACTTCGAAGAAATGATCAAAATTACTATAATCTCACTATGCATGGGAGTAGCAGATAAAGATACTGATTGCACTTCAAAGAAATTATCAAAATTACTATAATCTCACTATGCATGGGAGTCTTACATTGCATCTATTCAATTACTATAATTTTACAAAAATATTATGAAAATGATTACATCAATTCCTCGTTATTAAAATTTCTCTTCTATAAGGCCTCTTTTAGCTTTTAAAAAGGAAAATAAGACCTCTTTTACATTTAAATAAAAAAAATTACATGAAAATCAATTCATTCTTTACTTTTGTTGTTAATATTATCTAATTAATATCCGATAATGATGAAATTTAACATTTCTTTTAATAATAAATACATGTGTTGTTTATTTAATTTAAAAAAAATGAAACAACGATATCCTTTAAATTTTTTATAATCAATAATTCACAAAATAAAATAAAAAACTTGGGTTTTCTCATTTGTAGAATGATGCAAAGCTTGGTCCTACCAGTTTGAGAGCCCATGCCCATTTAATGAACTTATTTAATCAATAGAAATCTAAGTTCTAAATATTTAGGTCCCATGTCCTTGACAGGGTAGGACCATTTCTTAATTCCTACAAAAGGCAGAAATAAAAAATAAAAAATAAAAAGCCCCCATTATAACCTGAATTAACAGATTAACAAAAGAGGGTAAGTTAAAATAGGCAAATCAATTGTTTAATAATTTTAACTTGTAACAGGGGTGGATTCTTGAAAAGTCATTCCTCCCTCCCTCCCTTTCTCTGTCTAGTCTGGTTGGCGAACTTGAAAAGCAAACAAACTGACGGTTAAGCCTAAAAAAACACACAACGCTTTTCCTCTACTCTCTTCCCGTCTATTCCTCGAGAAGCTAACTCTTCCATATATAAGCCTTAACATGACCTTGAAACTTCGTCAGGACAAGGGAGAAGAGCTGGCTGAAAACTGAGAGTCTGTCTGAGACAGCAAAAGACAGATATGAAAATGGTGCAAAACGGTTTTGTTGGAGGAGAAGAGGCGGTGAGTTCTGGTGGAGGAACGGTGGTTGTTGGGGTGAAGCTTGATTCACCAAGCAGAGAGCTTTTGACATGGGCTTTGGTTAAGGTGGCTCAGCCTGGTGACTCTGTGATTGCTCTCCATGTTCTTGGCAACAATGGTCAGTCAAGAAATTTGGTGTTTTCTCTCTTCCTGTTTCCGTGTTTTAAGTAACTTTCTTTTTTGTGGGTTTGATTTTTTCTTGGGTGGTTTAGTGAAGTGGGAGTTGGTTTCTTTTTCTGTGTCTGTAGAAATCGTGGATCGAGATGGGAAGTCTTCGCTTTTATCGCTGGTCAAAGCGTTTGACTCTGTTCTTGCCGTCTATGAAGGATTCTGTAATTTGAAACAGGTTCAGCTTCAATCTCTCCTTTCTCTTTTTAAGCTTTTCTATTTATTGTAGCCATTTTTTTTCAATGATAAATTTGTTAATCTGATTTTTCTCTGTTTGGTCAATTGGAAAATGGAGGAGCATCAAAAATGAAAATTCGACCTTCCCCTACTGCTTAAGTTAGCTACACTACTAAGAATAACTAATTAAACATTTCCAAGAGCAAATTTAAGAATTAAAAGGAGTTGGTTTTGGCGATATTTTGCAGGTGGATCTCAAACTTAAGATATGCAGAGGTTCTTCAATTCGCAAAATTTTAGTGAGAGAAGCAGAATCTTATTCTGCAACTAAGCTTATAGTTGGAACAGCCGCCAAACTCCATAAGATACGGTCATCGACTTCGGTAGCTAAGTACTGTGCTAAGAAACTAACAAAAAACTGTTCAGTTCTTGCTGTTCATAATGGGAAAGTAGTGTTCCAGAGAGAGGGCTCTCCAGCTGGTACTTTTGGTTCACAAGGTAAAAATTTTTTATTTTGGCTATTTACTTTTTGGATGTGAATATAAATTTTTCATGGCTACCAAGGAATTTCTTTGTTGTGTATTTGTTTCAGGAAGTGAAGATCAGAAAAGATATAGCTTGCTTAATGCAATTCAGAGAACAATGACATTGAACAAGAATTCTAGAGTACTAAGTGAAGGAAATGCCAATGCCGAAACCAACGACAAAAATTTGGAGCAGGCCTTATCAAAAGCCCGTTCAGGCAGCTTGGAGAGTGATCCAAAGAAAAATTGCTCAATCTGTGGATCTGGTAATGAGTTGTTGCTACATAATTCTTGTCAGCAATCTGCAAAAGAGTCTTCTGCTGGTGATGCTAACGATGGAGACCAATCGTTGGCTATAGTGCCAGTGCAAAAGGCTGAGGCTACGTCCAGTTCGATTTCCATGTTGATCAAACAGTTGCCTGAAATCAGACCCGGTTGGCCTTTACTTCGTCGTGCAGTTTTGTCAGACCGACAACAACAAGTTCCTGACCGGTCTTCATTGAGGCAGATATCTGTGGTTCAGTGGGTGATGCGGTTGCCCTCTAGGCGTACTCTGTTTCTTGCCAATTCGGATCAGAAACAAGAAGGTTGCACTCAGAGTGAATATAAGTCCTCTAGTTTTGATGGAGAAAGCGGTGCAATTGTTCCAGTTGGTACGGAGAATGTCATTGCTCCACCTTCTCCTGATCAAAACTCAAGAAACCTGCCAAAAGAACTGGAGGGTCTCCATGAAAAATACTCTGCAACTTGCAGATTATTTAAGTACCAAGAGCTCGTCTCAGCGACATCAAATTTCTTGGCTGGTTTGTTTTATTCATCATTCCTCTCTGCAACAATTTACTTTAGTCCCTCCTCTGGAAATTGGTTGACTTGATTCATTTTTTCTTTTTTTTTTTTCTGTTTTATTTTCAGAAAATTTTATTGGAAAAGGAGGTAGCAGTCAGGTTTATAGAGGTTGCCTTAGAGACGGCAAGGAACTCGCTGTGAAAATTCTAAAGCCTTCTGAAGATGTATTGAAGGAGTTTGTTTTGGAAATTGAGATTATTACTACATTACATCATAAGAACATTATTTCCCTCTTGGGTTTTTGCTATGAGGATGACAATCTTCTTTTGGTTTATGATTTCTTATCAAGAGGAAGCCTTGAAGAGAACCTTCATGGTAAGTAAATGCATAATATTCTTGGTTTTGAGATTGAAAAGAGATTAGATCTTATTATAGTACTAATTCAGGTAATAAGAAGGATCCTGGTGCATTTGGTTGGAGTGAAAGATACAAGGTGGCACTTGGGGTAGCGGAGGCCTTAGATTATCTGCATACTAACAGTCAGCACCCTGTAATCCACAGGGATATTAAATCCTCCAACATACTACTGTCTGATGACTTTGAGCCACAGGTATGTTTCTTTTTTGACTTCCAAGTCTTGTGCTTTCAAATTTGAAAATCTTCCAATAATTGATTTCCATGTATTCGACTTGCTTTCTGCAGCTCTCAGATTTCGGACTTGCTAAATGGGTATCAGCCTCTTCATCACATATAACCTGCACAGATGTTGCAGGAACCTTTGGGTATGTAATTTTCACTTCCATTGCTCTAGGCTCACTTGTTTCTAATTATGTTCATTTATTTCAAGGGGTATTACAATGTACAAAAATGAAAATCTTCCCAGCATTATTTGAAACAATTGAAAATATTCTTGGGGAAAGGGTTGGTACATGTCATTGAGTAATTAATGATATTACCATCTGCTCCAGTTATTTGGCTCCTGAGTACTTCATGTATGGCAAAGTAAACGACAAGGTTGATGTTTATGCATTTGGCGTTGTGCTGCTTGAGCTTCTATCTGGAAGAAAACCTATATGCAATGAGTATCCAAAAGGCCAAGAGAGCTTGGTCATGTGGGTATGTCCTTTTCGCTCATGTGACTCATCGTGTTAATCTACCTTCCAATTTTGTGTCTAAAATAGAATTGACCTTGTCCAGGCAAAACCAATTTTAAGTGGTGGGAAGGTTTCCCAATTATTAGACCCAAGCTTGGGTGATGGATATGATCGTGACCAGATGGAGAGGATGGTTCTCGCTGCCACGCTTTGTATTAGACGTGCCCCACGTGCTAGACCTCAAATTAGTGTGGTAAGTCATCTTTGATTTTTGCTAATCAGACTGGCTTTTTCTGTGTGCAACGTTTCTGGTCAGCCAAGTCTTTCTGATAAAGCAGGCACAAGAGAATAAAAGACTTCGTTTATTAAATTTTGCTTTAATTTTCTTTAGCGCATAATAGAAAAGGCTAAATTGGAAAGGGAGTATTGGGTAGTTGCATGTGTTGGTATCGTGATCTGAATTGTGCACTGTGCCAAGTGTCCCACGCCCACTAGTATCCCGGTTGCAGTAGCATATCAGTGTAAAAACCAAGCAGATGAATTTACTTCTTTTACGTTTCTGTGAACAACAGATAACTAATCATGTTTTCGTTTCGGTTGGCCAAAGGTTTGGAAGCTCCTTCAAGGCGATGCTGACGTGACAAAGTGGGCAAGGCTCCAAGTGAATGCCTCGGAAGGATCTGACGCATTGGATGGTGAAGCTTGTCCCAGGTCTAACCTCCAATCCCATCTTAGCCTTGCTTTGCTTGATGTGGAGGACGATTCACTCTCCATGAGCAGCATTGAGCAATCTGTGTCATTAGAGGACTACCTGAATGGTAGGTGGAGCCGTTCATCAAGCTTCGACTAACCCACAATACCGGCAATCTAAGCTGCAAATAAGCTTATTCCATTTATGGATTTTTTTTTTCTCCCCCTTGTATATTCTTTTGGTTTTCTTTACTCTTTTTTCTTTCAACTGGGTTGCTTACGGTAGGTGTTGGATGAGAGGTTGTTTGCCTGGTGTGCCCTCCTCCTTCCCTTCTATTCAATCAATGTTCTGTATTTGTGGGGCTGCTTTCTACCCTCCTTTCTTTCTTTGTCTGTTTGTTGTTCTTGAAAGTGTTGGGTTTGCTCCTTGATCGCAATAGATTAGGAGTGGGAATATATTGTAGTGGTGGAAGCTAATTGTGTTGTAACCCCGGATTATTTTCTCTTATTAAAGTGAGCATAAAGTAAGCATTGTTCTGAATTTGCCTGAAGCTTGGCTAATCAGAGCAAATTTGCTTGGAAATTGGTATGCTTCGTACTTTGATTACTAGTTATTGCTCCATTTGCATTTGCTGTTACATGCCTATTGAAAGCAGATTCAGCATATCTCGTAACTTTCATGGCTTGTAGAATGCTCATACAAGGATCCACAAAAGTCCCTTTCATCCTTCCAACTTGTGGCCGTCGTGATTGAATTGGCTTTTAACACACTTTTTCAAGATTCTCTCGACCCACTCAGCACAACCCGTGTTTTGGGCTCCTCACTTTCTGCTGAAATCTTTATTTCTTTCACGAAGTCGTCACTGTTATACAGACCATGAAAAGTTACAAAATTGTACTAGCCTAATAGGGCTACTAAATGGAAAAGTTATGCCACAGCCACAGCCACAACCACCCTAGGGAGTCCACTTCCACTCGCTGTATCCACCGACACTTTGATTTCCTCAGCTCCTTGCCCATTCCGCCCCCCTCCCCATGACTTTCTCCTTTTAAGCCAATGTCATTTCCTAGTTAAGTGAGCACAAGTAATGCTTGGCCTTTTCTCAGTTTTTGCAATTCTTTCTCACCTGGTTAAGGCAATTACTTATACTTGCCAACAAATCTCACTTTAATAAAGGAATGCGAAGTACTGAACTGTTTCTAATTTAGAGATAAGAACTTGATGAACAATATGAGGAAACACAGTCATTTGTTAGTATTTAAGCGTTTTATTTGTGATTTGTAACTTAAAAGAGTAGGGCGTCGCGTATGGTACAAGTCTTCCTCTTTCTACTAAGACGCTAACGGCCATCACTGTTGAATCAATTGGTATTTAATGTGGCTTTCCTTTCCCCCTCTCAAACAGACATTGTATATTCAAGCTACTTTCATGTTCAGGCTGCAATCAGCATCTTCCATTACGACCCATGAAACCTTTATCTCTTTTAAGTCATTGAAAAGAGCTAAACCATTTTATCTATATATTATTATAAAGTAAAGGTCAACCTCCATCTCCATTGCTATCCAATTCAATTTTCCCCCTAAGTTTTCAGTTGTCACGGCAGCCCGTGTTCTTCCCCCAAGGCACATCCACCTGTTGTACCTTAAAGATTTGGAAAGGAAATTGATGGGTCATTAACCTCTCCAATTTTGAATAGGAAATTTTTTTAATGGCTCTTGGCCATGCTGATTATTGGGTTGCCAAATGCATATGAAGTCTACTGTACTTCTTGCTTTGGTTGAAATGGTCAGTATCATAAATTTCACGTTAATAAAATATGAAATGAGTTTTTAGATATATAAATATAAATTTTTTATTACTTATTAAGTATTTTTTTGAGTTAAGAACATGAATTCATAATTTATAGACTTACGTGAATGAAAATGAAGAATTATTTCAAATTGACTAACAGTATTTTCATTTGAATTTTGTTTTTATTAGATTGTACTTTAATGTAATTTGCCTTTATCATTACTCAATTAAAATTATCATTTTTTTTTCATGAATTTAATTAAGAAGATAGTATTATATATCTTTAGTAATGATTTTGAGAGTTAGAAAGTTGAAATCGACAAATTAAAATTTACAAAAAAAAAATCTAAAAATATTATTTTCCTATCATTAATTAAAGATTAATAATGATAATGATTAAATTATTATTTTTTAAAAAAATTAATTTAATAAACTGTACAACTTTCACGTTTATAAACTTTTGAAGATTTATGTAAAATTAAAACATTTAATTATTTGTTTAGTTGAAACATCTACATGACATCGCGTAACTGGGCTCATCATTTCCCACATGATTATACAAAAGCAGCAGTGGAGACTGGATTTGGGTAATTGGGCTTGAGAGTTGAAATATGGGCTGCTTTACTACAAACTTCTACAATTGAGCAAGATAAGGCCCAATGGGGAGGGACGGTTCAAAATTACATTTTTTTTTTCTAATCAAAATTATAAACCTTAACCCTTTGAAAAGATAAATGATTTTATATCAATGATAATGGTTGTTATAATTTAAAATTGAAATTCTCACTCTTCTTATATAATAAAAAAATAACATAATTGATAATTTTTACAATAAACATTTAAATAAATATATATAAAACTTTTATCCTCAATATGTCACCTTTCATTTGCATTATTTTTGCCTAAATACGCTTAATTTCAGAGTTTTTATTTATTAAGATGAAAATACTTGCTATTATCCTGAAAAATTAAGTTTATAATAGTGATGCAACTCTAGTTATTTTAACTTTTGGTAACATAGGTGATGAAAAAGTATGAACAACTTTATTGAATGATCAATGGTTTAAATCGATTATAATATAAGAAATTTCCCCAAAGGTTACGCAAGTATTAACAATTAAAACTACTATTTAATGTCAATAGTATATTCATTCCTAATAACAAGCTTACATGATCATTGTCTTCTCCAAATCACATTAATATTTTATATTTTGATAATTTTATTGAATCTAATTGTTTTTGTAAAGTAGAAAAGGATAAAAACTTTATTTATGATTTCGATCTAAAGAGAATTAAGATTTTAAAAGAATAGTTATTAAGAATTTTCCTATATAAAAACAGTAGAAATGTTTTTACTTATCAATTAAATTATATTTAAAAAATAAATCAAAATTTGTATAAACTATTAAATAAACACATAGTAATTAAAATAATTCAAAACAATTCAAGAGTCTCATATATAACTAGAATAAGAAGTAATTTCATGTTTGGTTGAAGGAATAGATTTTTCAAAATTTTTCTCCTCCTGTTTGGTTTGTATTTAGAAATGACTATTTCTCAAAATCTTATAAAGCCTTGGAATAGTTAATACCATCTCTTCACTGGTATTAGCTATTCTACATCCATAAGAATAGAATCCAAAGCATTTTAGGTTAAAATGTTTTTTATTTTCTTTCAAAACTTCCAAACTTAAACTTATATAATATTTTAATTATAAATAAATTATTAAAAATTTAAAGTTTATTAAAAATAAAAATTAAATGATTAAAAAAGAAAAAAATACTTAAACGTGTCTTTTGGTATAAATTTTACTAATTTATATAAAAAGTATTTTTGTTTTTGATGAAAATAAATCTTATAATAATAAAAAGTTTAAGTTTTCAATTATATATTAAAAAATATTGTGAATTTAAAATTTATTAAAAGTATTAATATTTTAATGATAATTATATTTAAATTATAAATAAAATATTAATATTTTAAAATTTCAGCAATTAAATTATAAACAAAATATTAATATGTAAATAATTAAATATTAATACTTTTAATAAATTATAAATTATTAATATTTAAAAATAAAATAAAATAAACAATTATAATAACATTTAAATTATAAATAATATATTAATATTTTATAATATTAATGGTTATATTATAAATAAAATATTAATATTTAAAAAATAAAATAAAACTAAATAATAATATATAATAAAAGATATTTTTAAGTTTTATCTTTTATTTTATTATTTCAAACTTATTTTAATCAACTAAATACAGTAATAAGTCATAATAATTTTTTTTATTTTATTTCATATGTCATATTAAATTTAATAATAACTATTTATTTTATTATCATTTTATTCTATGTTTATAAAATAATTATTTTACAGTATTTTTATCTATTACACGAACTAAAAAGAATACTAAATTTGGAGCTGAGCCGTTTGCCATAGCTATGGACCTATGAGTAAGTATACAACATAAATTTATAAACATAAAAAAAGGAAAAAAAAAAAAGCTATCCCCATAAAGAGGAGGAGACTTGTGCAAGTCCAGAATCAGGAAAGCAAAAGCCCGAACTGGCAGAACATGGATCCCTCCTCCTACGTCAACCACCATCACCACCACCACCACCACCACCACCGACAAAACAACCACACCAGGTACGCCCCTCTCTCTCCTCCTCTTCACCTTCTTTCGCCTCCCCCTCCCCCTCCCCCTCCTCATGCTCCACCCTATCAACAAAGTCCTAACAATCTCTACCCTTCCCTCTACCCCGTCCCTCCACCTCAGCCTCCGCCACAACTTGCTCCGCTCCCTCCTCCACCAAAGCAGCCGCAACAGCAACCATATCACCCTCTCCCTGCCCCACCACCTTCAGTGCCGCGTCAGCAGCATCCTAATCATCACCCGTACAACCCTCAACATCCTCAATACGCTTTCAATCCCAATTTCAATTCTAACGCTAACCCTAACAATGTTTCTCACCAATTCCACGATTTCCCTCAACGGCGGTTGCCCGAATTCGATGCCCGCCCTGAGTACTGGCCCGAAAATCGGGCATCCAGGCCCCATTCCGTTTCCAGTTTGGATCGGGAGGCCCATTATCATCAGTTTGATCGGAGACCTGTCTCTTCGGCGGTTGACAGGTTTAGACATGATGTAGAGGGAAGTTCTAGGTATAGAGCTCTCGAGTTGAATCTGAGAGAAAGACCGGAACTTGGTAGGGTTTATAGTGATAATTGGATTCCTGATAGAGCTTCTAGGGATGTTGGGATTGTTTCTATGGGATTTGAATCAAACTCGAATAATTCAGGTTTTTATCATAAGGTTGCTGAAAACGTGAGATGGGGTTCACATGTACGTGATCAGTTGATTGATAATGGAAATAATGAGATTAATGAAAGAGATGAGATGAGGATTTTCTCGAGGAAAATTGATTATTATCAGGATTCAGAATTGGAGAGGTTTAGTGATAGGGGAAGTCGTAGAGAGGATAGCCATGAGTTT